GGAGCCCAGAGCAGCATCCAGTTCCTGCTGCACCTTCTCTGAGGAGAGACACAAACTTCGTAGAGGAGAGAACTCTGCATCCTGTAAGCTTTGTGCTCATCTCCAAATGAATTCTGACTGTTCACAGTATTCCAAACAACAATTAAATACAAGGCATAAATATAAGCCTAGCTCGTGACTATTAAATGTTGACAATTACAATTCCTAGGCAGTCTTCTCTATGATTTTTTTTCTGAGAACAATTCAGTTACACAACCAGCTAATGTTTCCCACCTTTATTGACTGAGAAATAGCAGCATCTCAGATGACCTGCTGTAAAACAAAAATTACCTTAGCAGAAGAGTAATTTCTGAAATTTTTTGAGGGAGAATATTTTCACCTGTGCACTCCTGATAACTGTAATTAGCACATGTCTCAGTTTTCTGCAGTTTCCCTTTTAAAGTGGAATCATCTAAGGCAATAGAACTAGGTTTGTAAAAGTGGAACAGTAATGGATAATCCGTGTGTGATTTCTTTAATATCTATGGAAGCTTGTGGACAGGAACGTGCACACTTTATGCAGTACTATCAAAGGTGAAGAAACAGTCTCTAGCCCTTCCTATTCCTTTCCCCTCATTCTGTATTTACTCCTTTCTAAATCCTATAAGAGCCTTTACTAATGTGTGTATTTCTGGCTGCAGTGACTGGCAAGCACCAGAATGCATGCCATCTTAAGGAAGAGGATACAGTCAGTTCTTCTACTGGAAACCTATCTGAGAAGGTCTCTTCATGTCCCCAGCTTACCTTGGACGTCAGGATAGGCTACCATACAGAGCAGAGCCCAGCGCAGAGTGGTAGCAGTGGTCTCTGTGCCACCCAGGAAGAGGTCAAAAACAGACTGCACCATATTGTCTTCATCGTATTTATACGTCGCATTGTTTTTAGCCTACAAGAAGGAATAAGATGTTAAAGGATAGGAGATGGACCTGTATAACCATGAGCATGACTACATCCAGGATACTGGTGCATCTCTGGGTACTATTCCCAAACCAAACAACATAATATTACAATCTGAAATAGAGTTGCTGGAATAACAGGAAGAGATAAGCCTGCATTTTTTTAAGTCATGCAGGAAGTTTCCCCCTGTCCTCCAATAAGGACTTTTTTCTCTGAACTGCATAAAGGCAGTTGAGGTCCTGCACCTTCAGCTCCTTACCATGCATGGTTTTTCCCCAGCCTTCCTGTTAGGCCTCAGGCAGAAAGCATAGCAAAACAGGAGGCTTTTCTCTTCCTTGGCCAGTCTGCCCACCTAGCTTCTCCACCAAAGGCTTTCTCCCTTGTATGTTATATTTTCTTGTTAAGACAGACTGGTCCATTTTTGGACTCATAGCATTGTCGTCTCTCCTGTCTATCATTATCACCATTACTGTGTATAACTTGACTCCAGCAGGCTCTCGAGAAGAGTTAAGACTGCAGAGTCAGTGGGAATGGGAAGTAGCAATTCCATAAAGTAGCTGGTATCTGGCACTCCTTTGCTGCAAAGTGTTGCAACAAACTCATAGTCAGCAACACAAAACACATTAAATAATTCTATATAGTAAACATTAGCTTCTTAGTTAAGTTTAAAGCTTTGCAGTTGAAACCAAAGAGAAGAGGAAGCAGTTTCCACTTCTGTTTGCAGAATCCATTTGCTCAAGGTGATATGGAAGGATATTCCCAGGAATACAAAGAGGGTAAACGCTGAGAGGTAGGATCAAGCACACCTATCGTCACACACCTAGCATACACTCACTTTAGCAATCTGAGACAGGTAGTAATCAATGAAATCTTCTGGGTCATCTATTTTGTCTCTCTCCTTGTGGATTCTGATCTCTTTTCTTATGAAAGCACGGAAAAAATCACAGAGAACAAACACCTTTTGTTGAGGCCCTGGAAGGTGTCGCATAAGCCATGGGAAAATGTCATAGAGCTGCAGGGCGGAGATGGGAAAGAGATTGCAAATTGTTTGTCATACACATTTGTGCTGATCATTCACCTACAGTCACTAAGGAGCTGAGTGATGAGTTGATTACTGCGTGATCCGCTCTTGTAAACTTCAGTATCCAAGAACAATGCGGGAGACCTGACACATATGACTTCGGATCTAAAAGGTATTCATCACTTTAATTATCTTGTTTCTAATCTATCTAATTATCCTTGTAGAGGATACCTCTGGATAATAGAGATACTATTCCAGCCCAAATATCACTGACACTAGAGTTGCTACAACAACTGCAGAAATAAGGATTTTGAGGCATTGGCAGAAAAAAGCACTCTTCTTCCTGTTGCGTGGCAAAATTCTGTTTTCTTTCCAAAGGAGCTGAAGCATGCAGAAATCAACAACACAACGCACAAGAACTTTAAAATAGGCCTGAACACCTGACAAAGTAGGTACAACATCTTATATTGATTTTGTTGCTTCTGTGTATGTGTGCACATATTATAGCTTAGGGATATAAGGAGATCAGACTGTGAAGAAATTGCTCACACATCTTCCAGACTGAAAACCAGCATTCGTGACATGGAACGAGATCGCCTGCTCTCCATTTCACAGCCACCCAGAGCGAAGAAGAAAAGCTGAAGATGAACATACTCTCCCCGTGGCAAAAAGGCAGGGGAAGGGAAGTGTTATTTACATATCTATCCTGAGAGAGCCAATATGCTCAAGCTAAACTGAGTACTGCCACACTGGATATCAGCCATGAGGACAGGGCAGTGGTTTTCGGAGCCAGCCTACAAACTCCCCTCCACTACTGGCAGGGCTGCCTACTGCCAGTTCTCAATATTTGCTCCCTTTCTCTCTCACCTCTCCCAATTAATCTCCTCCCAATTAAGAGGATAAGCCAGAGTATCAGTGATGCCATCACAGCAGCACATTGAGGCACCCTTTTCTCCAGAGGGGACACTAAGATACATATTTCCTCCAGAGGGGACATTGGGGTACGCATTTCCTCCAGAGGCTGAGAGCCTCCTGCCCTTTCACTGCTGACCTGGGGAACAGGGCAGGATCTGCACAACCAAACACAGCCTTTGCCAAAATAAAAATTAAAAATAAAATTGCCTTATTCTATCACTGATCTCTATCTTGGAGAGATAGTTATTACTACTGCAATATCCTAGCAGAACACACCATAAATCACAAGATATATAACAGATATATAACAGATTCTTCCCTGATTAAAATCAGCTAAAGCTGGACCAGCTACTACAGGAATAGAGTGGTAAGAATGGTAAGTTTCTTGTCTGGATTGGTATGAATTCTTCCATTACCATTCCTCTATTTAAGGAATAAAAAATAGAAAGTCTGCTCACTATCTGAGAAGTGCTATTTGCAAAATCCATCAAAAAATGAAGTGCTTTGGCCAACTTCTGAAAAGTTTCATCCTCTAGGGAGAAGCGATGTCCGAAAACCACAGCGCAGATCACATTAAAGACAGCAAGAACAACGGGATAAGCAGGGTCCACAGCTTTTCCTGCAAACACAGCAATTAGCATTCATCATTACTATTCCATGTGCTCCCTTTTAGGGAGGCAGGTCCCAACAGCCAAGTACAACAAATGCTCCCCATGTGTTTGGGTTTTAGGAAGAAGTACCCCCACAAGCTGACACAAGTGACAATAAAGATCAAACAGATGCTCACAAAGAACTAAAAGAGACTGAAGCCTCAAGTCACACAGATGAGCATAGCATGAGCATGAGACTAAAAAGCTCTTTGTACCTTACATACCATCTGTGCTCTGAAAGAACTCTATCAGGTGACGTGCCTCCACTTGTATGCCACGCTCCATCTCTTTATTTCCCATTCCTAGCTTCCGTAGGGTTGCAATCCCAAAACGTCTCTCATGTTTCCAGATGACACCATTTGTGAAAATAATACCTATAGCCATCCAGTTATATCAGTTACATCTCACACTAATATTTATAAATAGAATTATAAATAGTAAGAATAGAAGATTTGCTGACATTACGTTTGATAGCTGAGAAACATAAAGCATGACATTAGATCTCTGCATCCCTCCTAAATGTGTCCTTGCCAGAACAGAAATTACATAGTTTGAGATTCTCTCTCAGTTCAGAAGGATTCGTGTTGACTCCTGGTAGGAATCTGCTACACTGGATGAGCACAACAGGCCCAAAGAACCACGTTTAGATGTAGGACAGGAAAGTTGCTTCTTTTCCAGTACTGACATTTAAGCAAGAGTGAAACTGCACAGAGAGCTTAAATAGTGACACTGCTCAGTTGGTTCACCTTCCCTAGCACGGCAGAGGAGCAGTGTACGAGAAAGTGAAGGCATGTGAAGACAAGACCACCCAGTTCTTGTTTTAGAGGACATGAAAGAGTAAGAAATGCCCACATGCCTGGGGAAAAGCCATTACAAATAAAACCTTCCTTCCCATTTCTTTTTATTGTCATATCACCAAGCATTTCCTTCTGAAAGGGAAGGGAAGGCAGCAGCTGTCACAGAAGGAGAGAGTATTTCTTCTATCACCCTCCAACTTTCCTCCTCCCTTCTCAAAATGCACTCTCTGTGGAGCAACAGATCTTACCCTTTCCATTTGCCATTCGCTGAAAGGAAGGGGTCTCCAGCCGCCCAGCAACATCATCTGCATGAGTAGTGAGACCATCCTTCACAGCTTGGAATCCATGAAGCATCACTACAGGTTTGTGTCCCAACCACACAGTGTAGATGTTGCCATAGGTTTTTGCGAGCTGTAAGTTGAATCAGTCTCCCCAAAATACCAATGGGAGAAAAACCAATCCAATTAGAGTCAGAAGAAACTGCTTTTGAAAAAGTAAGAAAAAGGTTATTTGGGGATTCAAGAATAAACCAGGGCCATATTGTCACGGTTTGCTCGTAAGCACCTATCTTGGTCACCAGATTCCATAGAGCTAAAACAATTTTCATTACAAGAATCATGGAAATGACACAGGATTACAGCCAAAGAAGGGGGCTTTTTATCTTTATTCTTTGAGCTGTCACAAGTAAGCAAGAAATCACAAGTAAGCAAGAAATCACAAGTAAGCAAGAAATCACAAGTAAGCAAGAAATCACAAGTAAGCAAGAAATCACAAGTAAGCAAGAAATCACAAGTAAGCAAGAAATCACAAGTAAGCAAGAAATCACAAGTCTTCCTCCTCAACCAGCATTTCCTAGAGATTAGAACGAAGACATCTATTTCTCTTGAGGCCAGCTTCATCTGCTAAGGCAAACATTTGATCCTTCCTCTTGTTTCCTCACAAAAGAGCCTGGACTTGAAAATTTACATTGCAGAACTTACTGCAAGAAGAATAACGCATCTGCTACTGTGGACATAAACTTTGCTTTTTGGCCTTCCTTCTCATTTGTCCTTTGGAGTAGCAGAGAGGGGAGGCACTTACTGCATTCTGGAACTCCCCTATAGCAAGATTCATAGCTCAGCAGTGGCGAAGCGAGAAGCAAACTTGCCCAGCACAAGCAGATACAAGACACATACAGCAGGTATCAAAAGTAGCACTTGCCCTGGCAAATCCCAAAGAGCCTTTCACACTGGAGTTGAAGAAATTCAAAAGAATGGCAAATATAGCAATGTCAGTTGTGGGTATCAGGTGGGAGATTCTTACAGATGCAAAAGAAAAATATTTACACAGGAAGTCTTAACTAAGCCTCCTTATAATCTTCACCTTTCCACCATAAAAGCAACTGACAAGAGGCAAAGACAGAACCCCTCAACACACAAGGTACAATGGAAACTTCCCCCTTAGCTCAACAGACTTTGTGTAGCCCCTCTCTCTCTCCATGCATCTCAGTTCTCACAATCTAGCTGCAGCCAAGTTTTTTAAGTAGATTGGATTGTAGGTCTTATATTCCCAGAAGCTGAAACATCCAAGCAAAAACTAAATTCTCATGTAAATAAAAGGATAGAACAAAGCTGATCCATATAACACAGCACATAAACACACAAGGTAGAAACCAGGATAAATGTGTCTGTTGCAGGAAACTTCAAAAATATCAAATCACTATGGACTAGACTCAAGCTATTTGAAAGCTTGTACTTTAATATCCCTAGGAGATTGACATCCCCTGCCTATAGCTAATGAGGGTTTTCAGATTTACAAAAGTGTTTTTCAGAGGTGTTTCTATGCCTCTAACTGTGGCAGTACTTATCACACCCAGTAATTGCCTGGAAGCACATACCTTGTCAAGGATATTGCGATCAATCTTTAAAGATACCTGCAAGAAATTTCCAATGAAGGGAATTGGCACTGGTCCAGGAGGAAGTGGCTTGCGTGCCCACTGCAACTTCAGAAACTGCACTGTAAGAAGACAAAACACAAAGATGATGAGAACTTCACTCAGGGTCACCATTTTCCTCCAATTTTAGGAAACTCCTGTGTCCAAAGAGTGAGCACACTCTATCCTGTTCTACTTGTTCTATCCTAAGAGAATTTTCCTATATTTGGTTTCTGCATCTATTGCGCCTTCTCATCCTCATCACCTCTGATGCAAAAAGACTAGGATTGTTAACCTCTGGAGTTTCCTTAAGTAGATTACTGTGCTGCAATATGCTAATAACTCAGTCCTTCATTAATATGCATAAAATGAATCAGTATGCATATTTTTATTCAGGTTAACTGGTATCACAAACTGAAGAGATTTAGATTTATTTGTGAAAATATCATACAGACAGCTCAACCACAGGGCTTGGCATGGGTGCTCTTCGGCAGTGGCATGTATCCATATGTTCAGTTCAGACTCTGCATCTGACAGGACAGTGAGTGCATTGCAATTTCTGATTAGTTCTTTAAGTCCAGTTGCTTCAGTTTTGCACTTTTTCCTCTAGTGGATTTTCATGCTTCTGTTTTGCACTTTTTCCTCTCGGTTATGAATTTCTCAGAATAGTCTGACTCTTATTTTGGACAGGTAAAACCAATGTAGAGGATCCTGATCAAACTGGAAGTAGGCAAAGGTCTACGGCTGAAAAATGGGAGATACTGTAAAATGTGAAGTTAATATGATACTTTTTAAATTAATTCTTTGCCTGCTAGATATAGGGAGATGTATTTCTGCTTATTTTGTTGAGTTTATTTTATATATATATACATATATATATATATATATACACATATACATATGTATATGTGTGTATATATATATATATATATACATATATATATATATATATATATAAAACTTCACTCACAAATTCTGGTTTTAAATAACCAGTATTATTACTATGATTTCACAGTGACAAACATTTATTGTGGCTTTGCGCAATGTTGGAGTTCTTGCAAAATAACTATGTATGCAATAATTGTTTTGCATACAGAAGTATTTCCTGGAAAAATAGGTGTTGCTGGAGATTTACACATAACAGCATTGCTATATCTCCCTCAGGCTACAAGAAGCTGACAGAGAAGGATAAAAATAAACAAACAAATGAAATAAATGAATAAATCTCAGTAAATATTGCAAGTAATAACAGTGTTTTAAAGTTAATCCCAACAGGATAAAGTACTTACAGGCTTTCGGCAACCAACCAGCTGATCAAAAGGATCACTGCAAAACAGACTTGATCTGGGAAAGTTTTGTTCCTATTAACAGGTAAAGAAAATATTTCAGAAAAGTAACAGGAAACTTTAGTACAAGATCATATCATGCAAAGAATAACATCATAAGCAATAAGGTAAAGTTCTGAATAAAAAACGAAACACCTTCAGCACCAGTTCATTTTTAACAATAGCACACTGTAGCACTCCTTGTTGAGCTTTAAAACATTTATAGAGAAATAACTTAAACCCTAAAGCTACTAACACATCTTTCAGCCCAGTATTTCAACTCTGGCTGATATATTGCTTTGCATGAGGCAAAGTGGACAAAATACTTCAGCCCTGGAAAACAAAGGTTCTACTTTGTTGTGTACTCTGAGGCAATTTCATACTAAAAGAAATCTTTAGAGGCTTTAGGAATGCACTTTTATTTCAGAGACTTACATTGGTCCCATCAGCTTTAGCCACCTCGGTCTTGAATTAGAATTCAGCACAGCTAGACCCAAGTTCTTTCTGCATTATGTGTTGTGGATTTATCCATATCATACCTGCTTGCTCCTTCTGTCCTCCAAGGGCTATGCTTTTCTCAGTCATTTTCCAGTTCTGTCTGTTCTGTTTTTAGCCAGAGTCACTATGGTTTTTCCTGGCTCCTGAAATCTCACCCATTCTCATAAAACCGTTGTAAAGGTGACAAATGTTATTGATGGTTTTGGCACAGCTTCATGCAAGACTACAGTTAGCTCAGGGTGATATTCCATCGTATTTGGTTAAGTTGAAACCAGTCATCTTACCTAAGCAGTCTTTAGCCTGCTATATCCTCATTCTGTCTAGCTTTTTTGTCATCATTTTTTGCGTTTATCCTCAGATCATAATCACTCATTTAGGCAAACAGTGGAGAAGAAATTTTAACTGAAAAGCTTCATAACTGGATATCAGTTTTCACTGTAGTATGACCAAAAGTTTCATTCTGATACTGCAAGAGCTGAAGCAAACACAAAAACAGCCACATTTTATCCTCTTTCCTCTCAGCATCCCCCCGATCTCCCTGCTCCAAACCAGCTGGAGAGTTTAGCTTTACTACTACTTTCCCTGGAGGGGATGAGAAAAACTGCATTTGTGACAGAAGATCCCAGTAAACTGTTTTCTGGCATCAGCTTCAATTACCCATTAACCATTCCCCATGACCAGAGAATCTGTTGTTCATCTTCAATTACAAATTAGGTCTTTCACGAGACGCCCCCAGGCAGGAAGGAATATGCTTGTATTACCTTCCTCTGCTTTTATGATCTGTGGGGTACAGGCTACAGATGGTCATTCCTTTATGAAGCTTATAAACTTATGAAATTATTCTCTTTTCCAAACTAAATGGTCTCTTTCTAAAGAGATCTGGTTCTTCTCCAAATATCTCTGGAAGAGAATTGCTGGCCTGGCCTTACTGGATACCATAGGTACATATGGTGGACAGTACCTACATCCCTTATCTTTTAAGTTTTCAAACTGATCACTGTTGAATCCAGTTGGAGAGTATCTGCGTTCAAAGAACAAAGGGCTCATTTAAACAATGGGTCACAACTAAATCAACTGTAAATATACTTCTAAAGCTAATCACTTACTTAGCATCCTCGGAACCTGGATGTCCCCTTTCTTAAACAAAGTCTGAATGCTACTATAACACAAATTCTGCAAATAGGCAACCTGCAGATACTGCAGCTTTGAGGCTGGAATATTAATAGCAAACATGTCTCAAATAATAGCATTTTTTACAACACTGCTAGCAGCAAACAGTCTTGGAAATGACATTATCTTCCATGCTGTGCACTCCTCTTACACGCTACCAAGCTGCAAGTCTTGGTCAAGGAGTCCAGCTGTTACCTAAGACCTAGACTAAGACAGCAGAGCTGCACAACCTCTGCTCAATTATACTGAGAAGATTAAGTGCAAGAAGGTAACATTAGCTGAAATGCTTCAGAGTAAGCAAAAACAAACAGAAATGTAATTGCTGAGTTTGTAATAGCTAGCAGCTCAAGGACTGATGAGAAAAAGTACTGGCAAGATAAGAGTAAAACCTCAAAAGCAGAGATTTGGAAATCAGCAGTTCCGTAAAGCTGAGAACAAGATAGATCCAAAGAGGAGCTTTTATTTCCCAAACTGATGCCTATTTGGTGAGCAGAGACGGATGAAGTGTCTCAATAGTGGAGGTAAGGATGTTAATGCCTAGCCCAGGAACATTTAATCATAGCTAGCTATTATATTAGCCAACAGATAATTCCTTTGTGGTTTTAAATTGTGTATATTCTGCTTGCAGAGTCTGTCTGCATGGTAAAAGATGCCTGCACAAAAGTGATCCAGTGAGGGTAGGTTACAATGCAGCTGTTTATAAAAAGGGGAAAGTAAATCACTAGGATTATGAATTTGTTTCAGTTTCAGAAGGTTTGAAAGAGCATATTTGCAAGAAGGTTGTTTGAAATGAATATAGGCTTTCATTTTTTTTCCATTTTCTTTAACATTGAAAGGAAGAAAAGGAACACTATATTCAAAAATTTCATATTTTCCTCCAAGATGTTAATTTCCTGGTTTCTACTCTGCAGTTATTGAGAATTTCTGCAGCTATTGGTCACCATGTTATATTCAATTACCAAACTAAAGACAGGAGGGGAGAAAGACAACATCAAAGATAACATCTTCACAAAACAAGTCTCAGAAAAATAATATCCTTTCAATTGCTCCTAGACAAGTTCCCTTGAAAGTCCATACTCTGTGTTTTTCAGCTATAAAGGATATATACAAACACTGGCTTCTCTGAATGCAGACCTCTGTGAGCTGCTGTTTGGAGGGCACTGTCACACAGCAGAAAATGAATTGCATCTTTTTCAGTTCTGAGCAATCAGAAACTCTTCAGCATGTCAGTCTGGATTTCTTCCTGAATGAGAATGGCATGAACAGTGTTACCTTTTCTCCATTCTCAAAGAGTAAAGCATTTCTTAACCACCATTTTAGAATCCAGGGTTACCACACCCCTTTCAAGAAAAAAAAATATGCCAAGAAAACCTCTAATGCCCAGAACATCTTATCTCGAATGTTCCGTTCTGTCCATGATTCTAGAATTTCAAATGCAGCAGAAAAAAATAAAATAAAATAAAATAGAAAATGTTGAGGCTGACTCAGAAAATAGGAAATGCCATAAGGAAGGCTGTCTGCACATGACTGGAAGGCCACTAGACCTCTCTAGCTCCCACTTCATCATGATATGCAGTGCCCAAGAGCATGAATAAGGCTTGCCTTACTTCAGTACAGACAGCAGTGCATTCCAAAACTAACAGAAAACAAAAATACAAAGAATGGCTTCCACAGTCCATTTCCTCCCTAGTATATGCGCTCCAGCTTTCACTAACCTTGTTCTCAAAGCATGCTCACAACACACAGGAGCTTACAGGGAAGTAAAATCATGTTTTTCTATAGAAATTCAGTTTTGCTTATTCTAGTATCTTCAGATGGGCAGCTCCTTTCCATGCAAATTTTGCTTGCTCATCTGGCAAATATTATTGCCAGAGCTCACCAGTAAAGATAACAGAGATGCTAAGTCCAGTTAGATATTGTCAGGTGAAAAAATTTACTTTTGTAATGAATGTGCCAATCTCACAGCTCTTTTGAAAAGGGAACTTCAGGGATGACAAGGCCCAGAGAGATGAAACAAGTTCCTCACATTTATAGACAAGCTATGAACAGATCTGCAAACTCATTTTGAATCTCTCAAGGCCCATTGCCCCATGTGTGACCTCAAAGTCTCATGATTATTCAGGTCCCAACAATACACTTTAG